TGACTGAGCCACCCAGGCGCCCCAGTTCCAACATCTATTCATCCCAGTGTTGACATCACTTGATTTTCTTTCCTTAGTGTTGTAGTTTTGGATTGTGTCCTGGGCGTTGTGTCCATTAGGACATTATGGGTCCTATTTACACTTTTTTACTTTAGCAGGCAGTCATCCTATTCAAGTGTAGCATGCAGGTCCTGGCATACTTTTTGTGGGTTGTAGTTCCAGTAACAAAGTTAGCTTTCAGAGCCTTTGGCACTATTCTGCTCTGCTTTATCTCATTCCATGGGGGCTCCCTGTGGTCCATGATGGTGTTGCTTGAGGGAGGTGAAATGAACAGCTTCTCCAGGCGGAGTTGCATGGTGTTCAAGCCCATGGGGCTGGAGAGCTCTTCCTGGCCTCTGTGCCTATTGTGGCAGGATCCCCTTGCTGGTGCTGATGGCCATTCAGTGTCTCTGGGCTAGGAGGGACTCTTAGGCTCCACAAGAAGGGTAGCACTTATCAGGCCAGCACCAGTTGTGGCAGAAATGCCCTGCCAACTGTGTCTCTGGGTTGAGAAGGAGACTCTCAGGCATGGCTTCTTTTCTTCTTGATTCAATTTAAGTTTTTTATCTTCTGTTTCTGTGATATTATCATTGTTCTTAATTTGTCCTATGGTTCCTCTAGATTAGTTTTAGCTCCCTCAATTTGACGTGATTTATTTTCTTTTTATTTCCAGTTTTTCCTTAGTTCTGTCATATCTTCCAAAATCTTTCCTTTTAATTACCCTTGTCCTGAAATTTTCTGTTTTTGACTTAGTTGTCCTTTCATAGCTTCTACTATTATTTAAAAATTTGTAGCTTCATTTGAAATTTGTTACAATTTTCATGTTTTGTTGGCAGATCTCTTGGTGTAATTTTGTTCTCTATAGAGACATCATTCTTATGTGCACACACACATATTATTCCTCTCTAGTAACTCTTTTAGTGTTTGTGATCTTTTTCTGTTGTGTCCTTTTTTTTTTTTTTTTTTTTTTTAAAGTGAGATGAGTTTTCTCACGTTTGGAAGAGGGGGAGATAGGCCAGGGCAGCTTTTTCATGCTTCAGGAAAGCTCTGTGCATTTTGGTTTTGCAAAATGATTTTTAAAAAAATGTACATGTATATAGCCTTGTGTTTTCTGAAACTGCCTATTCTACTGTCCTTTCCCACATTTATTTGAGTTTTTCTTGGCCTTTTTATTCTTGATTCGGTGGATTTGGACCTTATTTCCAGCAGTTTCTCCTCAGTTTTAAAAGGGAATTTTGGTGTTCAAGAGCTTTACGGACCCAGAGCCTTTACTATATCATGATCCCTTTGCATTTGCCTACAAATTGAATAACTCTCTTTTAGCTGTCTTTTCAAATTGGCCTGTGCTTTCCAGTGGGTTGGTGTTTTTGAGATTCCTTGTTCCCAGGACTGTAAGAAACCCAGTTGCCTTCCCTTTGCATCCTCACCCACTGACACAGGTACCATCAGGTATTCTAGCTGTCAGTGGTGTGTTCCTCTTCATTTACATGGAAGGATTTGTGGGAGGATATCTTGTCACCTAGTTTTGAAGGTGTTATCTATAGGTCTTCCATTTTCTCATCCAATTAGCTCTGGTTTTATGGAAGAGATTAGGGAGATTGAAAAGAAAAGCAAAAACAAAATAACTGTATCACTGCCACCATCATCTTCCCCAAACCTCTTACTCTGTGTTTCTTCTGATTTTTTGTATCTGTTAGTATCCTTACCTGAATCCATTGTTTCCCTGGGGATTGCAAAATGGTGATTTGGAAAAAAATTTCTTCTGTTCATTCTACATATATACCTGCTGTTCTTTTTCCTCATCAGTGGTTGCTATTTGATTACTGTGTAAACAGTTTTACTGAAAAGGCACAATAAAATGTAATTAAATATTTTAGAATAAGGAGTTAATGTAATAATTTCAATAGTGACAGTTGAGTTTGGATTTTAGGTTTTTTTTGTTTTTTTTTTTTGCCTCTTTCTGAATATTTTGAACTCATGGATTTTTATATATTGAGTGTGATTCACAGTCATTATTCTTAGTAATACTCAAACTGATTAGTCTTAGTATGCTTTTAACATCACTTCATTTTACATTTTGAAATTTTTAGCTCACCTTGAGCATTTTTAACTCTAGGCTTGAAATAAGCCTTTTTTATAAGAAATTATTGGGGAAATATCATCTTTAAAAGTCAGTTTGGGGTACAAGGTATGACCTTTGTTATTAAATGTTAGTGCATGCAGACTTTTTCCAGGGGACAGAGCGAGGAAATATTTTTCATTATATCCTGGAAATCATATCAGTGTAGAGATATCTTCCATGTTCTTTTGTATGGCTGAATACCGTCATTGTGTGAAAGCAGTATAGATTATTAATATTCATGGACATAGTGTTTATTTCCAGTCTTTTGCTATGAGAAGTAATGTCACAGTGAATCATCTCATACATGGATTATTCCATATGTATGTTCCAAATATATATATTTTTTTCTTGTTCTTTGTTTCTGATCTCTGTGTCCCTACTAGAAATTTTGGTCATACTGCTTTTCCTTTGGTCACCTTCTGTTTCCAAATTTATTTTGCATATTTCTTGAGTATATATGAGTATTCTCATTTATGTTTCAGATTTGTTCATTTCTGAGTTTTGTATTTCTGATTATTGGTGTTCTTTTCTATCTGCTGTTACATTTTCTCTTCATGCTGGAATATGGGAATTACAGGTTTTCCATTCTTCATGACTCAATTTTTCAAGTATACTTTTTTCTGCTAGACAGTTTAGCTTCTTATTTATTTGCCAGACTTGTTTCATAATATCTTTATTTGGATTTTGGAATTCTGTTTCTCCCATTTATATTTCTATTAGTTGAGTTTTTCTGGACCTGCTATTAGTAGATCTCATGGTAGAGTGGGGAGAAGTTTGGGTGGAGTTAGTGGTCTCTTGATTGAATGGTCCTCTCTTTTGTTGTTACGGTAACAGCAGTTTCTTTAATATGTGGTTATGTGGCCTAGCACCTTCTGATTCTTCAATTCCATCTTGTTTAATTAGGGCCTCTTTCATTAGCTACTTCCATTCCTTTATAGCCAGAAGCTACTTTCAAGGGACACCTCTGTCTCCCAAGGTGCTCCCCCCATCACTTCCAGGCATCATGCCTACCTGTCATTTCTACCCTGGTACTTTTCCAAGGCCCACCCTTTTAGCCACCCCGTTGCCAGTGCTCTTACCTTTCCTTAGTAGTTCACTCTTGGGGTGGGCTCTGCCCTTCAGTGGTGAACTCTAACCCATATTATTCTGCACACCCTTGTCTTCCATATTGCTCTTGTAGGACTCTGCGAGTTTGGGCTCAGGTGTTCATACTCCCAACTTACATGTCAGTTGGGAGTTTGCCGCTCTTTTCCTAGTTTTAATCTAAGCTTAGGTTATGGGTGTTTTTTATCAGATTTTCTCTCCTTTTTGATCTGAATAGGTTTTAGGAGATGTAAATGGGTTGTGATCCATGAAGCTACCACTTATGTAGAATTGCAGAAGCTTTTTTTCAGTTTTCTAAATAGTTGCATTCAGAATTTTAATAAAGAACAAAACACCTAAAGGAAGAGATGAATTTTGTTCAGTGTTTTCATTATGTAAACTGATAGTAACCCCAATATTTTAAATTCTAATTTTAAATTCTAGAAAGAACCAAATAAATAAATAATGTAGACAGACTGGTCAGGGTACCCTCTCTCCTTTTCAGGTGTGGCTGGTTCTATTAGGCTTCAGAGCACTCCCCCAGTGTGAGAAGACTTGATTACCACCCCATTTGCTGGGAAGCTATTCTGCCCTGACAGAGAGCTCTGAGCCACAGGAGACTTAACTTTTTCTTGTCAGCCACCCAATAAGAATGACCTAGACTGTGGAATGATTTTAGTTCTTCCTGAAAGATGAATCTACAAGTTCCATGTCTAATTTCCTGTTGTTATGATGTAGTTCTTTATTGTTTTCTCTAGGTGAATGGGAGGTTTGCAGGAACTGAGGAGGATGTTAGAATGTCAGGGAAAAGAAGTGGGAAGACATTGAAGGAGAGCCAAGAAGTCTAATAAAGCTGCTAACCCTGTCAGAAGTATTGATATTGCACCAACAAAAATGCCCACATTTTAATAATAGAAATTATTTAGGAAGTGTGATGTTCTCTGCCAAGATTCTGGAAAGAGCTTTTCAAATAAATACTAAAATGTATTCTTTGACCAATTAACATTTTTAAATTTTTTTCTAAAATCTTGAATTTTTTTTAGCTGAGAATTAGTGCCTATGTTAAATTTATGGATACCTCATTATTCAGACACTCATGCCAAGATTGCTCTTAATGAACTGCATTTTGTTTTTAGAGTGAGTAATACAAGCATCATTATAACAACATGACTTTTATCACATAGATTTTAGGAATGCCAGGGACTAAATCATTACATATAGTAGAAATAGAATTATCCCTATCCCCACTTCCATAGCAAACAAAATCAAAAGTGTTCTGGTTTATATATAAAATGTATGCTTTTGTATTACTACTCTTAGGCATGCATGTGTGTTTTTTGTTTTTTGGGGTTTTTTTTTGTCCTTCATCTGTATCACCTTTTCCCCAAAAAATTTCATATTTTCACTTTACAGGATTTGGGTTTTGGATTTTGGATTTTGTTTGTTACTGATTATATAGTATGACTATACCATAGTTTATATACTTATTTCTTGTTATTTGGACACTTCAGTTTACCAGTTTTTACTGTTCTAGATAATGTTACCATGAACTAACTATGCTTTTAAAAAGTGTTTTGGTAAGAAATTTGCATTAGTAATTTATAGATCCTTGATGAGCAGGAATGAATGTCTAGGGTTTCTGATACTAACTTCCAAGTTATCTCCATAATACGGTTTTAATAAATCATAAATTCATACTAGTACTAGTTATAAATGAATGCCAAACTAAAATCAGTATTCTATCTTTTCTCATTAGGGAGTTCTGGGAAATCGTTCATTCATTTACAGATGAGCAGAAAAGACTTTTCTTGCAGTTTACAACAGGCACAGACAGAGCACCTGTGGGCGGACTAGGAAAATTAAAGATGATTATAGCCAAAAATGGCCCAGACACAGAAAGGTAATTATTAAGTTGTGACTATATACCGAAAACCTTACATTCCATATCACACATGGGAGCTGTCCAGGAGCTTTTGAGTACTTTTACAGTATTATGTGGAACTCTCCAAATCACATGAACTAGTAGTTCAGAGAATATTTTGCTGCTATTGTTTGAAATTTTTAAAACACTGGCCTACTTCAAAACTGTTACAGGGCTCACTTCATTTGGAATTTTGCAAATTGATATGATTTCAGTGTTTAGTTCAGAATTTTTTTTAATTGAAAGCCATATTATGTAATCTATTTAAGAATGGTTAAATTGAGGCTCAGAAAATTGTTCAGCACTAGATTTCTTAACATTTGAATCCAATTTCATAATCTTGATATTTAATTTTCTCTCTTCATTGTATAAGTTAACGTTTTTGTTGAGTAAGGATCATATATGAATAGCATATTTAAAGGTTTAAATGTATAGAAATATTTCCATTAGTATTCCACATTATTTGATGTATAATGGCTTTAATGTAAATTTCTTTATATTTGTTATTAAGTCATTTATGTAATCATATTGCCAAGAATATGTGTAACTGGCATTAAAAAACACAGACTTTGAAATCTTGAAAACCAGGTTTGAGTACTGTCTCCATCCTAGAGTAAATTAACTTCTCAGTGATGTCAACTCTGTAGTGTGGGGATAATGATAGGTTTATTGTAAGAAGATTTAGTTAGATGAGATCTAACAGTTGAGTACCTAAAACAGTATCTGGTATGTCATAATAACTCAGTGGATACAATATGTATCAGTCATCATCTTTATCATCATTAGTATTGAATAATAGATAAGATAAAAACAAACTGATATTTGGTAGTTGCATGGGAAAAACAAGTTTATGAGTTGCATTAATTGTACTCTGCATTGCAAACTATCTCAACTATACATACCATCTAAAAGTAGGATTTTTTAACACTGAGCATATTGTCCACGATTTATTTTCCTATTTTCCCCCCTTCTCTCTATTTAGGTTACCTACATCTCATACTTGCTTTAATGTCCTTTTACTGCCGGAATATTCAAGCAAAGAAAAACTTAAAGAAAGATTGTTGAAGGCCATCACTTACGCCAAAGGATTTGGCATGCTGTAAAAAAAAAAAGAAAGAAAAATGAAAAAAAGAAAAAAAAAAAGAAATTTAAAATTTTAATAAATATAACAAGAGGGATAAAATTGGTGGTGATAGTGTCCCAGTACAAAAAGGCTGTAAGATAGTGAACCACAGTAGTCACCTTTGTCTGTGCCTCCCTTCTTTATTGGGGATATGTGGGCTGGAACAGCAGATTTCAGCTTATATGAACAAATCCTTTATTATTATTGTTTTTTTTTTTTTTTGCGTGAAAGTGTTACTTATTCTTTCACTTGTATGTACAGAGAGGTTTTTCTGAATATTTATTTTAAGGGTTAAATCACTTTTGCTTGTGTTTATTACTGCTTGAGGTTGAGCCTTTTTGAGTATTTAAAAAATATATACCAACAAAACTACTCTCCCAAGGAAAATATTGCCACCATTTGTAGACTGTGTAACCTTCAAGTATGTGCTATTTTTGTCCCTGTATCTAACTCAAATCAGGAACTGTGTTTTTTTTTTTTTAAACAATTTGCTTTGAAACTTGAAGTCTTGAAAACAGTGTGATGCAATTGCTGCTGTTCTAGTCCCCAAAGAGTTTTCTGTGCAAAATCTTGAAATCAATAAAGATGGAAGGGAGAACTTGGAATGTTTTAACTGCAGCCCTCAGAACTTTACTTTAGTAACAGCACAACAAATTAAAAACAACTCATGCCACAGTATGTCGTCTTCATGTGTCTTGGAATGAACTGTTTCAGTAGCCAATCCTCTTTCTTAGTATATGAAAGGACAGGGATTATTTTGTTGTTGTTATTGTTGTTGTTGTTGTTGTTGTTTTAAGTTTACTGGGGAAAAGTGCATTTGGCCAAAAGAAATGGTAGTCAAGCCTGTTGCAAGAAAGCTAGGAAGTTTGTTTATTATAAACTCAAAGCATGTGAAAGTGCACTTAAAATAAATTTTTTATTAATTACTTATTATCTGCATTTTAAATAGACAATCCAAAGTCTTCCCTTCATGTTGCCATCATCTTGTCTAATCAGCCATTTTATCAAGGCACATGATCAGTGTTGCAACATAATGGAAAGAATGGCTATTGTGCCTTGTTTTACTTAATCATACATTAAGCAGACCTGGAAATGAGTGGAACTATTACTCTTAAGTCCTATTTACATTGTATATCCCCAAAGATTAAGTTTTACTTCAAAAAGTAAGTGTTAAATATTACTTTCATGTACTGTGCGAAAAGTACAAATAGGTTTAAATTACTGGACATTCAGAAGTAAGTAGTTTCCCCTTTCTAGTCTTCTGTGTCTGTGATGTTAATTTCTTTTATTGCAATATAAAATAAAAGGATTATGTATTTTTAACTAAGGAGAGACATATGGATATATCCTTTTACTACAAGCTACATACAGCTAATGTGCTGAGCTTGTGCTTTGATGATTGTTTTAACAGACTATGGTAGATCAACCTGATGATTTGTTTGAAATTGGCAGGAAAAATACAGCTTTTCAAATCACTGGAGGAGAAAAAGGATATCTTTCAGGATTATTTTAATTATTTTAGTAAATTGAGACAGATCTGTTATGTACCATAATGCTAAATAAAACAGTGACATTTTTCATCATAATTTAGAGGAAAAAGAAAACAGTGCTTTCCATCTTGTGATAAGGTAACTTTTTTGTTGTTGTTGTTTTCTGGGCCAGCCTTTAGAACACTGTTAAGGTATGTACACTACCTTGATGCAAGGGACTCTCATGATACTACAGTCATCTTAAAGAGCGTTTCATCCATGTGCTTGTGTATAATGAAAGAAGGAGAGAAATCAAATACTCTGGGGGCATTTTATATAATAAATTCGTGAAGAAATGTGTGCTCTTCAGTTCTCAAGTTCTATTATCACAGTATTGAAGTTCTATAAATGTATTAACATATCTGTATGAAGTTTGTGAATGGTAATTGAGTATAGGTTATCAGATAAAGAATTCACATCAAATAGACTTTTAACAAACAGTTCAAAATAAACCTACCCTTAAAAATATTTTAAGAGAAAAAGTCATTGGTTGTCCATACTAGCTGTTCTCACTCGCTTAGTAATTACCCTGGGCATGTTACCACTTCTCTTAACCGTTGCCTCCTGTTCACTACTGTTTATTAGAATGCCATTGAACAATATCTCAAGGAAGAGGAAAACAGAAATTTTGACTATAATGACTACTTCTTCTACCCTAAATGTCTTATTAAAGTACTTTTTTGTCTGGACACTTACATATTTTGGTTATCTGTGAATCAGCCCACAGTCTGCAGGAAGCTCTGGGGGAAAAAATGAACCATAAACTAAAATAATTAGCTTTCCAAATGAAATAGAAACTTTCTTTTACATTTTATTATTTTAGAAAATTTAAAACATGCAACATAAAAATACATCCTGCTGCCAAACTCTTCTGGAGCCTGGCAGCTTCAGCAAATGAGTTGGATTTCCTCACCCTATATACTGCTCTCCTAGGTTTGTTAATTGTGTGATAAAATACAACTACAGCTTCCCTAGCTTTATTTTGGGACGCATACCTGTGTAGGGAGGTAAATATCCAAAAAACAAAAAACCTTGAAAACGAGGCTTCAAACTGAACTTGCTGATAGTCATTCATTGGTTGTGACATAGCAACATCACTCCCTGTTCCCATAAGAACACAACTGCTGGGATTTCAGTCCCCATTTGGGGTTTTTCTCAAGAATTTCTAACAGTTTCTTAGAAGGATTGTTTTCCTAAGGCTACTTTATTTGTAGTCTTGATCCCCTTATCTGCTCACTCTCTCTCACACACATACACACTCCCTCCCTCCCCCCTGTCTTACATATATACATATACATTTTTTTTTTAACCTCTACCAGCTTCTTGATCATCTACCCTTCCCACCCCTTCCATGAGCCACCAAAGAATTAAAAAGAAACTTCTATTTGCTTCCCTCTCATCTTCTACTCTGTGTTACTAGTCTATAAAGAATTTCCTGGGGAAGACTGTTAACACATTCAAAGTCCCAAGACTTTTCCCCCTTCCCTGTTCAAATCTAGTAGGTTGGCATTTGTTAAACACTGCAAGATTTTGATGCAGGTGTCTCATTGTGAGAATTGCTGCTAATCTGTTTTTGTGCCACTGAAAATGCTCTCCTGAAGAATACTCACAACCTCAGTTACCAGTATGAACTGTTTAACCTTGCCAACACCTTGAACTTAATTTGGCTGCCACTCTGTTCCTTTTTTAGTTGGATGTATACCATCCAGATCTTGGATGGATACTATAGTTCTACGTAAAAGTTCTTGTCCAATTCTCTCTGTCAACCTCAACCTCTCCTGAAGATTAGTATCTAAATCCATATTTTTTGCTCAGACCCTATCCCTAGGATAATCTTTCTGGTACCTCAAAGTTAATACCAGAATTTCATCCTGCGTCTCTTCCTACCGTTACTTGTTTTTTCCTTAACAGGATCACTTTCAACCTAGTCATCGAAATCCCTCATCCCTCAGTTGTCACAGCTTGTACCTATCAATTCCTTTCCTCTCCAATCTCCCGAGTTGTTCATCATGCTTCCTTTCAGGTCCTGGTCCATTGAATCACCTGGTTGCTTTTAATAGCTTCCTAACTAACCGCCCTGACTGTAACTTCCAATCTTACATTCTGCTAAAATAATTTTGCTAATTTAATATCCTCTGCTTCAAAATTTGCTTCCCTTTGAATATTCTTCAAGCTTGGCATCCAAAGCCCTCCATAAACTGGGCCCCACATGCTTTTCCAATTTTGCCATCTGTTACAGGCACTTCTCCCTGCATCTCCACCCAACATCTTCACTTGTGCTTAATTATTTCATATTTCTCAAGTACCCTTCAAAACCAAAATTTAAAAAGCACCCATAAAAAACTTCATGGACCACCAACATGGACCCCCAAGTGCCTGTGTAACCTCACAGCAACCCACACTTCCCATGGTAGTTCAGCTTGGTGGGGCAAATTCCTTACAAAACAGCGAGGAGTACCAGGATGTGAGCAGATTCATGGTAAAGACTTTTTTTAATCATCTTTCCACCAGCTTGTAACTACTTGGGTGATTGAAAACAACTCAGCATGCAATAGAATGTCCAATGAAGCTTCCTGTTTTTTCACTAAAGATGGCCTCTTTCTCTTTGTCTCCCCACACTTCCCCCCCCCCAAAAAAAGTTTATTAAATATTTAAATGTGGCTAAAGGACTTGCTTCCTGAGGAAGTGGCTCCCGTGGGTCAATGACTGTTCCAACCCATGGAAAGACAGTAAGAGGGAAAGGATGAAAAGGACAGGTGTCCTTGAGAGCAAGATTGTGTGACTTCCCTTGCCCCTACCCTTTGGATGTGCTCTCGCAACCAGGAGCCTCTGTGCAGCCACGTTGTCTGTGGCCACACTCCTCTCCCAGTGGAGATAGGGGCAGGCATCTTACACCACCCAATTGCCAGCCCCTCATGTCTATCAAGGAACAGTCCTCTGCCAAACACTGCTTTTTATACTAAATGAAACACCACAGTGAGTGAATGCCTGTTTATCCAGAACCTCATAACCATTACTACAAATCAACCCTCAAATCAGGATTCTTAGGTTCATTTGAACAGCACCTGGAATAATCATCCTAGCTGTCTTCTGGTCTTTAGGAAACCATAGAAAATGGGATAAGCATGTGTCTGGTAAACAGTACACAGCTGTCAAGATTACAGACTTCAGTGTCATGACTCTGCTCCTCAGTCCTGGCCCTGCCCTTCCCTCAGCTTGGATTATCATATCCAAGCCCACCTCATTGCTGGTTATTAGGATTCAGTGAAGTTGAGATACAGGTGCCAGACAACCTGGTGCAAGACAGACTGAGATAGGTTCTCTCAATATTTGCCAATTAAAAGGAGTCCATTGAGAGGTTGGAGATAATTATAATGATTGGTTTTACAGGAGTTGAACCTCTCTCATCCACCTCAAAGTGGAGGAGGGGTAGTTCCCTCATTTTTGTTTTTGCTTTAATATAAAATCCACATAACAAAATTCATTCTT